ATATATGAAAGTGAATCGTGGGTTTGTATGACACAAACATGTATGTACACTCAAATCCAAAATCTGAAATATATGAAAGTGAATCGTGGGTTTGTATGACACAAACATGTATGTACACTCAAATCCAAAATCTCAGATATGTCAAACATCTCCAAGCTTCTTTTCACTACAGTGGATAAAAGAGCCTACGTTTTAATGTGTATATTAAATCCAAAAGTCGCAGTTTTTCAAATGTTAAGTCTCATATTATTAACCCAAAACAGCAGCTGTTTTTGAATGTCTCTAGCCCGATTTCTATCCATATATTCAACTCAAAATCAGCATTTCTTTAAAAAGATTCGTGCATGAAAAACAAAGATGTTAACTACTATACACACACGGAATGCTATTTCTTGAGAAATTCGCGTGTCCTTATACAAAAAAATTACATGTACATCGATCAGAATGTTATGTTGATGCGCCGAAACTTTTTATAACGAATTCCTATACGTGCGTGCGTGCTCGAAAGTTGAGCTGTCAAAGTCAGTGTCGCGTTCAAGGGCTAGCATGACAAATGACCCATCAAAAACCGCCATATTAGCTCTGTTACCGTTATGCACAGCTGACTAATTACCATACAACTCTTATGAATTAATAAGTGTTCCACTTTCATGGCCTTATACACACACACACACACATATATTGTACATCTTCAAATACGAACCTCGAGTAAAGATGAACTTACAATTAAATGATAAAATAATATACGATCTTATTATCTATACATTAACAGAGAAATATATAACGTATTTCAATCATGTCGAAATTTTTTAGGTTTCTGTTATACAATAAAACGCCCTTCACAATAGTTCAAATAGCCACAAAATTTCATCTACCTTTCTATCCCTCTTCAAACCTTTGTCAACTAGTCAAGTTGATATTATTCCTATTATTAAAAAAAAAATTGTGATTTTGAAGCAGTTTCTTTAGGAAGAAAACGATGAAGGTTGATCGAGGACAACTTAGAGATATCGAAAAGTGGGTCTATTGAAATGTTTTGTCTCTATCTTTAAAATATGGACTTATATTATATGGCAATAAACGAATTTCAGGTTTCGTAAGTTGACTGGCTTAACTCACTGAAGTGTCCTACCAAACTCCATCATTAATAACCGGAGAGTTGAAAGTCGAAATTTGCGGTACGGGTTCGAATACCGAACGATCTTAATTTTCATTTCTTCAACAACAACAACAAAATCTAATTCTTTTGTCGACATCATTTTTCATACTTAAACGATGACGTCAATCAAAAGCCTGAAAGTATTAAGAACGCCTAACACACGTCACGAGTGGAATTCTTGTTGTGTCGCCTGAAGAGTGAGTGATGCAAAGAACTGGTGATTACCAATTGAATATATCCAAAAACTGACATACAGGAAACAAGTTGAACATTCGTTTTGAAGTAATGTAAGAAATTCCGTGAGTGCCAGAATTATCAAGAATTTGTTTTGTTTTTTCGTCTACACATTTCCCGAGATTGTGGAACGTTTTTTCTTATTGAAAGCTTTGTGACACCTTATACATTAAACATCCCGCCAACATCTGAAAACACGTAGTCGTCAAATCATCGTGTTCATTGGAGGCATAAAAATTATTTATACAAAAGCTAAAGAACCTACGGACAGTTTGTAAAATCTCAATATATTGGCACTACAGACGAAATTAAGAACAGCGCTACCTATACAGCAGTATACTGGAATATCAGATGATTAACGCCCACACACAATTTTGCCATATAAGCATGTGCGATAGTATCAAAAAATGGAATTAACACTGGAAATGGTTGTGAAAATTAAACTGATTATTGCATTATATCATTTTAACTTAAAGGAAAACTTGCCACACATTAACGTCACTTTCGATCTTAGCTCAGCTTTTTTTCCCAGCATACTAATAGTTAATTTAGCGAATAGAAACTGAATTATTGAAACGTTTATAGAAAATATATTGAAAACAGTATTTCCTTTTGGTTTTTCTTTAATTGGTGGTGTTGACGGTAAAATCACTTCAAAATCATGAGTGTTTTTCTTAAAGTAGTGCTCACATTGGCTAACCCATTCTTAATGAACCATGAAACTAAAAGTATTCCTTCTCTCGTCTGGGTCATCATCGGGTCAAGCCCGACTATTCGTTGGCGCCATTGACTGAGCTGCTCTCCAGCCAGATCAAGTTTCCATTTTAAACCTCTTTGTTAAAGAACAGCTATAACAGCACAATTAAAGATTACATCAAATATTTACAAAAGTTCACACTCAAAAGGAGATTTCTAGATT